GACCCCCAGCTTCCTCTTGAGCCGCTTCAGCTCCACCGACGTCTTCCCTGGGGATCGGGTAGTCGTTGTGGGCTGGTGTCGGGAGAGGACGTTGACTCCGTGGAAAGGTCGGCTTCTTTCCACACTCCTTAATTTTTTCCCCAAGTTGTCCGGTACCGGTATAATCTCCACAGCTGTCTGCTTCTTTTGGAGTCCCTCCCAAAATTTCTCCAAGGCTCTAGCCCCTCGAAAATCAGAAGTTTTCATTAAAGCATGTTTATAGGATAGCTTTAACGAATCCTTATAATTTCTTGGGTCTTTAAGGAGTTTCCCCGTCTCGGCAGAGTCTTCTTTCGCGGAGTCAGATTTTTCCTCGGCGATTTTCCCTGGCGAAGACTGGTCGTGGGGTGGAGATTTTCCCCCATCATTTTCTCCTTCTCGCGTCGAATCAGCTTTGTCGAAGTTGATTTTCCCGGAATCCCGCGGTCGCTTCCGGATCTTTTTATTTTCGCCAGCTAGATCCGCAATCACTGGCGACTCCCATTTTTTGGCTTCTGACTGGCCGAAGGAATTCCGCCACTGTTGCGTGCCCGATACTCTGCGCGTGAGGTCTTCATTTTGTTGCAGTCGAAGATTCGATGACCCGGCACCCCGCAAAAATCACACGTGTAATTGGTGTTTTTCGGACGTGGCCGCTCCTCGAACCTGTCGACTTCCATCGGGTCGGCGAACGTGGGGTGAGCCGAGCGGTCGCCCTGTCGCGTACTGCCGACGTGCGTCCGTCGTGTTCCGGCGTTGACCATGTCGAAGCGCTTCGCTGCCAAAACGACGTCACTGTAGCTCGCGTAGTTTGACGCTGCGACTTGTCGTTTGACTTCGGTCTTCAGTCCGGCGAGGTACGATTGTACTTTTTCCCCTTCGGTTAGGTCGGGAATGCGGTTATAAAATTCCTCCATCTGTTGCGTGTACTGCGCTACACTCCCGAACTGTCGGTGTCGATGAATTTTTTCCCGGGCGAGGAAACTCGAATTTATCGGCTCGAAACGTTTCAGCAGGTCGGCGCGGAACTGCTGCCACGTGGCTTCACCGTGGATGAAGGTACTGTTGCCGCCAATCCACTCGAGTGCCGGCCCTCGCATCAGTGTCGCCGCGAGTCGTCCCAGACTGGCGAGCTCCATCCGACGGCTGCGAAGTAGATCTCCATCCCGGCGATCCATCTGCGGGCGTCGGAGTTTCGATCGCTCGGATCGAACGGCTCAGGTGGGCGCGGTTTCGGAGCCTCGAAGAAACTGCTGCGACTGCTGCGTCATCGCCGTTGTCGTTTCGTGCTGCGCTCCGGCGAGTCGAGTTACTCGCTCGAACTCGTTTCGCCACGCTTCGCGATCCGCTCGCATCTCCTCCTGAAGGGCTGCGATGCGGGCGAAGAGCTGCTGGGTAACCTCGGCGTTGTCGAAGGTTGCCATCCTGTTCAAAACACGCACCGAGGGGGTAATTCGAAAATCGTGGAGCTGGTGCTTACCAGAATCGGCGTCGAATTGGTCGCCCCCGGCGGTTTTTCGAGGCAGGTTTTCCCGCTGCTGCTGCTTTGTTGAGCGCAGCCGAGTGAGAAAAGCTCTGATTACCAAGTGTCACAGGATCGAATATGTCGAGAAAATATTGCACTATCGATCAGTACAAGGCGCTTTTAGACTTCCAGAGTACATCAGGTAACCAGGTTTATCCTATCCAAAGGGAATAGACCCTTTTAGAAAATAGAATCACCCTGCGTATAGCCATGCAAGGCTATTGGCTTTAAGGGATTACGGCAGGATTACGCTAGATATAGCGCCTAGTACATCCCAAGCCTGGTCGGTGATATAACTATAATAGCAGGATAAACCAAAGGTTAATGGAAAATGGAGAATAGGAAACCAAATGAGATGAGATAAAAAAGAGAAATGAAAATAGGAAGGAAGTAGAAAAAACTCCAAGTGGTGTAACGGGGTCGTACTCTCACAGGGAAAGTCCGTTGCCGCGTCCTTAGCGGCTAGGGCCTCCCTGCATGCATGGCCACGGAGGGATGATTAACGAAGCGTGGAGAAACAGCATGATAAAAGACGGGTGGAGTGCGAATGGCTACCTATGAGCGATGCAGTGGCATGATACTAGATGCGGAATCCGAGTGCGAAGACGGGCGACAAGGCCCAACTGCGCTCTCGTCATCACGCTGGCGCCGTCGGTGCTGATTCCGCAGATCTTATTGAGGTCGACCCCACATGACTCCAGGTGAGTCAGAAGCACGGCTTGCAGGGAGGCGGCGTCGCACTTTTCCACCATGAGGTGCGCGAAGAACTCCGTGGTGAGGTAAACCGTAGCACGTAGGAAGGTAAGGTAAACGATCATGTGCTTTCCTCGGCGCCGGTCCGTACTTTCGTCGAGTTGGATCCCGAGAAAGGGGCTCGCCTTGATGTGGACCATCTGCTTCGCCCGCAGGTAAGCCACCAGGTTCTCGACGAGCTGGATGAAGCCATACCTGCCATTTGGGTAATACCGGAGGGCATAGGGGAGGAGTAGCGCAAATAGAGACAGTAAGTTCAAACAAATATCATAACCGGCAAATGAGGAACTCGAATGATGAGGGCTTCGCCTTTAAAACGTGGGACACTTACTCGCTCTGGTAGGTTCCTAGTTCCTTCAAGGGCAGATCAGGTGTCCCCTGTTCTGCCATGAACTGGACAAGGGAAACGAACAGAACGATAGGTGCATCCGACTTGCAAACAAAAAACACAATGGCCATGAGCCGCTTGAGTCGTCGAGCCTCATTGCCACCGTTCTCGAAGTCGACGATCGACTTCTGCTTCTTCATCTTCCCGTCGCGCTGCAGTTTCTTTGCCACGGCAACCTCATGCTTCAAACTGTGATGATGCTTACGCATTGTTTGCTTCTGAATGTCGATGCCGCCCTCACTGTTGCGGCCGTACCGATAGTCGGGGTCGTCGCCAAACGCCATGCAGACGCTGCACTTCATGCAGGGGCGACCCTGTATCGTTTCGGAAATCACCAACCATGGAAAGTGGCGTAACCACTGCTCCCTCGATTTGAGTTGGAGCTCCTCCACCATCAGGAAGAATGGCCCGTCGTCGTTGGACGGCGGGGAGTTGGGACCAGGATCGCCGCTGCTGCTGCCGAGCTAGATAGGATTAGCCGCAGTGGAGGCGCCGGCATGCCGACCGAAGCTGAGTTTGCACTGGATGTACTTCGCCTTGTCAGGCTTGCAGGCGGGCAAGACGGGCCCTCCAAAGACGCGTGGCGGAAGGCCGGCAGAAACGGTTTGCCTTGTAGGTGATGACGGACGGGAAGGCCTAGTAGCAGAGTCGAGCTCGGAGCCTTCAGCACCAAAGATGATCCATGGCTCCGTGTCCAACGGAGGCAGTGGGCTCAGAGGAGCCACTGTAGGGGGAGGACTAAGCACGTGCGAGCGGGCAGCAGGAGACAGGCTACGCGATCGTGCACGCGCTGCAGGAGGCGGACTAGCGGCGGGAGAGCGAGCCGAGGGTGGAGAACTCAACGCATGCTTGTTACTCGTACTAGGACTAGCCTCTCGACGACTAGTCGTATGTCGACTAGCGAAAGGAGGCGGCGCGGGTTTGACAGGCAGAGTAGGCTCGACGGGCATACGCCTCTCACGCGGCTCAGTGCTAAGGGGAGGCGGCGGGGGTCGGGACCGAAGCAGGTCTAGCCCCGTAACCGTCGATGGTGCGGCATCTTTAGGAGGGTTAGCATTAACCTCCTCTAAGGCCATAAGATGAGACACACGATATGAGCAGGAACTAGGTGGGAGAGCCAGCCAAGAATGAAGCACTAGGACGAGGACACCAGAGAGAGCACTCATGGCTGCAGGGAGTGGTTCTCTGAGACGTGGTGGTCTGAGGTTGGGGGCTTCTGTGGGCTGATTGTACACCATGGCAGCTCGAAGAAGAGCAGCTTGGGGTTGCAGATTCAATAGGAAACCCTCGCCGTGATGGCACGACGAGGGTGGCTTGCGGTTTCATCAGGAAATGCGCTGGCACATTGCTGACCAGCGCTGCTTGCCTGGTACCAAGCTGGCAGCGACGGTGCCCGTAACAAGATAGTGGCGTGGCAGCAGCTTGTGTCAGCAAGCTGTAAATTTGTGTGCGCTGGACTGTTTTGCTGCCGCGCTTGGGGTAGAATTGAATGCGCGTGCTGCGGTGCACACGGGACTGGGTGGCAGGCAGTGGCCCAATGGGCATGTGGACTAGTGGCCCTGCTGCTAGAAGGGCGGATTTGTCGGTATCAGACGGAAAAAAACGGCCGGTCTGATAAATCAGATGAATGTGTACACCTAGTCTGATGTTTCATACGAATTCTTATAACTTGTCTGAACGATCAGACGAATATATTTGGCTCGTCAAAAAATCAGATGAAACATAAAAACCCGGTCTGATTTTCAGACCATCAGACCGATTTGGTCTGATAACGGCAGCCCTGCTGCTGTTACCTTAATATGAGTTGAGACTAGGGGTTCAGAGGGCATTCTGGTTTATTAGCCTTGTAATTGTGCATAGTATTGTCTTAAGCACTTCATTTCCCCGTTTTTGGGCTTGTGCAGTGTCACTAATCTTGTGTCATTTGAAATCAAGAAACCAGTTATGTGGGAAAATGCTTTCGATAAAAGATGTCACAAATAAGTAATGGGGGAGGGGGGTGTGTTTGTCTAAAAGAAATACCATATTTCAGATAACCGTTGTGTGAACGTAGCATTTCCGCGCCTGGAGTTGAACCAATTACAAATGTCAAAACACACATCTTCTATGATCTCATCTCATGGAAGCATTATAGCAAACTGGTATATCTGTACATACTCATAAGAACTACTTGGAAAAAATTGTATCACCCTGCATTCGGGCGCAATCGAATCGGCTGCAATCGGGAATGGCAAAGTCTCGCATGACCGCATCCCATCCCACCCCAACCATGCTCTCCGCGTTTATTGCAACATCCTTTCATCACAGCTGATACGTAGCAGTAGGATGCGTTTGCAGCTGTCCCACTGCCACGACACGTCAGGCCCTACCGCCATGCACGCTGCTTTCGCCACCTCCGACGTGGAAGCGACACCGCTCGGGCCGCATGTCGCAAACTCAGAAATTGCGGAACGCGGTAGCATTGCGTGCTCTCATCCCATCATCCTTCCCCTGCGTCACGACGCGACGGACGATCTCGCCTACGGTCTCGCCTCGCGGCATCCGCCGCATCCTGACCCTCCCCACGCTCCCGGAACCTATACTATCAGAATGTATCCGATCCCCTATTCTCCTCTTGAGGTCTCCCTTCTGGTCTCCCTCCGCAGTGACGCTCTGAAACCCCCCCTCTTGTTCGCGCTTTTTCTTGTTTCTAACTCTTAAGGCGCGGAGCTTTCAAGCTAATCGAGCTCGCTGGTTTCTCGTTCCTAGCTTTTATCAGCAAGACCACAGCGGTCCAAGGTCTTAACAACCGGAGCAACAGGCTAATCGAGGCATGATGTTTTTCACGTGGTATGGCCTCGTGTTCCTCACCGTGCTCTTCATCCTGCTGTCCCCGGGGATGCTGCTGCAGGTACGCTCCTGTCGCGCTACTGCGTTATAGGCGCCTAACATCTCCACAGAATGCTTCCACAGCCAATATTGTTTCCACCCACTTGGTGCAACTTTCTTCCCCCCTGCTTCCCTGCACCCTCCCTCCCCCTCCCCCCCCCCCCCCCCCCCCCCCCTCCTTTATTCTTTCTCCTTCCGTATCCCTCCATGTCCTTCTCTGTCTATTTTTTAGGCGCCTCAAAAATAGGATCCTTTCGTGTGTTCTCATCCCCCCTCATCCTCGCTGCTTTTTCGCGGGCTATTCGGCGCTCCCCAATTCGACATTTCATCTGTGCAGATCCCCCGGTAACAGCCAGCCCTTGGATTTCCAGAATGGGCGCACGTCCCTCCCTCCCCTCCGTGGTCAGACATGCCTGCAGAGCTGTCTTCTGATACTCACCCTCCCTCTCCCCCCCCCTTCTCGTCGCACCCTTATCCGTGCTTGGCAGATCCCCGTTGACAACCAGCCCCTGGAGATTCAGAACTGGCCCACGTGTCTCCCCTCCGTGCTCGTGCATGCATGCGGTGCTGTGCTGTCCTAAGCACCGCCTTCGCAGATCCCCAGTGACCACCAGCCCCTGGAGATTCAGAACTGGCCCACGTGTCTCCCCTCCGTGCTCGTGTATGCATGCGGTGCTGTGCTGTCCTAAGCACCGCCTTCGCAGATCCCCAGTGACAACCAGCCCCTGGAGATTCAAAACTGGCCCACGTCTCTGCCTGCTGCACCTACAGTTGCCAGAATCTCCTCTGCCCTTCCCCTCCCCTTGCTCGTCGTTCCCCCCCTGTGTTGCAGATCCCCGGTGACAACCAGCCTCTGGAGATTCAAAACTGGCGCACCTCCCTGCCTTCGGTGCTCGTGCATGCTGTGGTCTTCCTCGCCCTCACGCTGCTCGCCAATTGGCTCTTCCCGTCGTGGCTACATGGCTAGATGATACCCGTGGGTGGCATGGCTACATGGCTAGATGAAACCATGGGTCACATGGCTAGAGCATGCTTGCTAGTAGATAGATGGTGGCTACAGATGAGTAGGAGATGCTGGTGTGGTGGAGTGGCTTCTAATGCAGGTGCATGTAAGTAATTGTCCATATGTGAATAATTAAGAGTCACTATCAGATGGTTTTTCTATACCTTGTTGACTTAGACTGTATACTTCAGAAGGGCTTGCTCCGAAATGAGCCAGTGCATCTTACTGTGGTTGAAACTTGGATAATGAAAGAAGAGGTTTTACTACAGCTCTTTTGCACGCAAGCAAGAAGTTAGCAATATCCCATCAGAACTTGGTGTTGGTTTTCGCCACAGCAATTAATGGGGCTGGTCTTACAGCACACAAGTCCGTCCACGCTTGAGCCTCCTGATCCTCCCCTTCTCCCAACCCACCACACACACCCCACGCACCCTACAACACTCTGGCTCGTCGAAGGCAGAACCGGAAAGTGCTGGTGGTGAGGGATTTTTTGGCACAAGTCTGAAAGTCATTCCTTCCCCACCTCCCCTCCCCCCAACTCGCCAACACTCTGGCTCCCCAACTCCCTCTGCCCCAGCGACGCTCATGCTCTTCTTAGGCAGCACCAGGAAGTGCTGGTGCCGGGGCTTCTGAGGCGCCTCTAGAAGAACCGCCTTAGGCAGCACCAGGAAGTGCTGGTGCCAGGGCTTCCACGCAGCGAACAGTTTTCTCGAGCTCAAGAACCATGCAGCAGCCACTCCAAACTCATTCCCTACCCTCCGCCCCTGTCTCAGCCACACTCGCGCTCTTCTTAGGCAGCACAGGGAAGTGCTGGTGCCGAGGCTTCCACGCAGCAGGCCACTCCCTCGAGCTCTGCCTTCCCAGCAGCACGGCGCACGGGTCATACAGCAACGTGTAGGGGTCGTGCAGCAGACTCATGCTGCATAGCACCTCCTCTGTCACCCACCCCCGCCCCTTGTGCGGGAGAATCTTCGAAGAGGGGGACACGAAGCCCGCTACAGGACGCGGCGTGCCGCCCATGACGGCTTTTTGGAAGTATTCAAAATCGGAGTCGTAGTCGGGTTTGGGGGGAGGGTTGAAGGAGGGGGGAGGCGGGGAGGTGGGGGGAGGGGAGGATGGGGCGGAGGTGGAGGACGAGGAGGGGGTGCGGGAGAAAGGTAGCATTCGATTTCTGATGCTGCTGCTGATGCTGATGCTGGTTGCGCAGCTTGCGCTGGTAGTGGCGGTGGTAGTGGCAGTGCTGGTAGTCGTGGTGATGGGGGCAGTCGGGGTGGTGGTGCTGACGGTAGTGGTGGTGGCGCTGCTGCTGCTGCTGCTGCTGCTGCTGCTGCTGCTGCTGCTGCTGCTGCTGCTGCTGCTCGAGCCACCACTTTCTCTTAAACCAGCTCCTCCTTTCGTTGACGCCTCTCTCGCCCTCTCACCACCCACCCCACTCCAACTCTCCCTGGTTCACTCCCGTCCCCATTACCTACAGACAGCTCTTCTCTGCTCCCTCTGCCCTTAACTGGCCCAGCAACAATGGGCTCAGGCGCTTCCTCCCCTCTCTCTGTTCCCTTTCCTCTAGCTGATTCCTCCTCTCTAGCTGCTTCCTCCCCTCTGCCTCTCCTACCTCTGTCCCCTCCAATATTATCACATCCTCTTCCTTCTCTCATGCCCTGATCCGCTGCTTGGCTGTTTCCAGGAGCCCCACACCTATCACGCCCCCCTTTAATATCACATCCCACTTTATCCTCCCCACTGCTACTAGCACACCCGTTTTCCGCCTCTCTCCCTCCAGTTCCTCTGCTCAGCGGTGACCCTTTCCCATGCACCGGGCAGCTCAAAAGATTTGCGTCCTGCCCGAGGTACGTCAGCCCCTGTTTCCTGACAGCCTGCATGTGAGCATCAAGCTCTGCCTGGGTCGTCCCCCCCATAGCGTCTCTCCCCCCTCCCTCTCCTCCCCCTGCTGCTGCCACTGCTGCTGCTGCTGCGTCGGCTGCATCCAGTTCTGCTAGTACCTCGGGGGGCTCTCTCCCTTCCAGAATGAGGATAGGGACGGATGGAGGCGATGGTGCTTGTGCCAATAGCAAGTGTGACGTTGGTGGCTGTGGCTGTGGCTGTGGCTGTGGCTGTGGGTGCTCTAGTTGTTGTTGTTGTTGTTGCGGTTGCTCCTGCTCCTGCCACTGCGAGTCTTGCAGCTCTTTTATCCGTTCCGCTTCACTCAGCACCTGTGATTCCTGCTCGCACTGCCCACCTTCCCCAGGTGCCACCTTCCCAGACCCATATGCCGCTGCAGATACCGCCTCCCCAGCTGCAGGTATCACCTCCCCGGCTGCAGTAGATACCACCTCCCCCAGCCGTTCGTACTTGATGATCTGGGCGGCGGCAGTGAGGGCCTGTTTGGCCATGAGAGGGTGGCACTCCTGGCCCCGCCAGCAGTACACTTTCGTCCGTATCTGGTGGGGTCGAAGGACAGTGGGGGGGGAGAAGAGGGGAGGGGGGGGAGGGAGAGGAGGGAGAGGGGAAAGGGGAGAGAGGGATAAAAGAAAGGCCATGACAGGTTGGCAATTCTGCCAGTATCTGGTGGGGTCGAAGGGGCAGGAGCAGCAAACAGCAGAGTGGAGAGCAGATGGAGTCGAAATATTTGAGGCATGAGGGAGATTGGGCGTTCTGCCAGCCAGGGTGTTTTTTAGAGTTCTCATAAACACCCTGCAAAAGGATTGGAGGCATGAGTGGGGAGATGGCACGTTCTGCCATGACAGGACGGCATGGCATGGCATGGCATGGCATGGCATGGCATGGCATGCACAATGAAGGCCCCTCACGGGTCGAGGGATCGGCGAGTGAAGGCGGTGATCTTGGGCACCAAGTGAAGCGCGTCGTACGGGGAGTGCGGCGCCATGCGGTACATGTGACAGCTGTCTGTGTTTCCACGAATCAAGAGGGGCTAACCTTTTGAGTCGACTCAAAAGAAGCAGAACATGTGGCAGCTCTGAGCTACTACATACGAATCAAGGGGCATTCACCTGCACGATGAAGGCCCCTCGCGGGTCGAGGGAGTGCCTGGAGAAGGCAGTGATCTTGGGCACCAAGTGAAGCGCGTCGTACGGGGAGTGCGGCGCCATGCGGTACATGTGACAGCTGCCTGCCGCCCCTGATGCCGCCTCTGCCGCCCCTGATGCCGCTTCTGCCGCCTCTGACGCCACCCCTGATGCCGACCCTGGTCCCCCTGATGCCACCCCTGCCGCCCCTGGTCCCGCTGACGCCACTGCTGGTGACGCTATCGGTGCTGATTCTGCTGCCAATGGTCGTGTTGGTTGTTTCTGTGCACGCTGCGGTAATGCTGCTGATGCTTGGCGCCCCACTGCCGTATATGCAGCACCACCTGCTGCCGTTGCTGCCAGCACTGGTCCTCCTGCTGCCGCTGCTGCTGCTGCTCCTCCTCCTCCTCCTGCTCCTCCTCCTCCTCCTCCTGCTGCTGCTGCTGCTGCTTCAACCACCCCTCCTCCTGCTGCTGCTGCTGCTTCTGCCCCTGCCACCTCAGCAGCACCGGCACCACGAGAAGTAACAGCAGCGGGAGCAGGGGGGTCAGGCTCAGCAGGCGGATCAAGAGCGGAGGGGGGCAGGATGCGCTTCTGCCACTGCAGCAGCTGGCACGCGAACCCCATGTTGGGGTTGGCGACAGCTCTTAGGGCTTTCACGCGTTTGAACGCATCGCCGAAGGGAAGGGCCTGTGGGGCAGAGGAAGGGACGGGAGAGGGGAGAGGGGGGCAGGATGCGCTTCTGCCACTGCAGCAGCTGGCAGGCGAACCCCATGTTCGGGTTGGCTACTGCCCTTAGGGCCTTGACCGGCTTTAACGCATCGCCATGTTGGGGTTAGCGACAGCTCTCAATGCTTTGACTCGTTTAAACGCATCGCCGAAGGCAATGCTCTGAAGACGGGAGGGGAGAGAGGGAGGGGGTGGGGCGGTACTTGCTGTGTTGTCAGCAGCTGGCATGCGAAGCTCTTGCTGGGGGTTTAACAAATAGCCACTGCTCTCCGCACCTTAACACACCTTGAGCCACATGAGGTGACTCTTGAGTCGGCTCAAAAGTTAACACACCTCGAGGCACATGAGGTGGCTTTTGAGTCGACTCAAGAGAACACACCTCGAGCCACAAGAGGTAAGCGACCAGGGAGGAGCAATCTGGGCAGGCCGTCTCTCGCTGACCTCAGGCCAGAGCCAGAGGCAGCCTGCCCTGGCAGAAGCGGGCTCACTGTAGCACAGACTGCTACGTACCTTGAAACAGACCCGACCCGTAGCCAATGCTCTCTTCCCATGCCTCGCGCCACATGAGAGAGGCGATCACAAGGGGCTTGGAGCGCGAGATGCCCTGGCAGCAGTGGATAAAGACCCGCCGCTTGGTCCCCTGACTGTCCCACTGTACCCACTGTACCACTGTACTCACCTGTACCACTGTAGACACTACACGCTGCACTGCACATACCTCGAGCCACATGAGGTAGGCGATGACAAGAGAGGTGGAGCGGCTGATGCCCTGGCAGCAGTGGATGAACACCCGCCCGCTGGCCTCCCGCACCGACTCGATGTAGTCAAACACGTCATATAAGACGCACACCAGGTCCTCGCCCGTGTTGTCCTGATAGGGGGGGAAAGGGGGAGGGGGGGATGGAGGGGTGGTGGTAGGGAGGTCAGAAGGGCGGTTGCTAGGGTGAACGCTCCTAGCCCGCCTAACTGCCTTGGTCAATGTAGTCAAACACGTCATATAAGACGCACACCAGGTCCTCGCCCGTGTTGTCCTGATAGGGGGGAAAAGGGGGAGGGAAGGGGTGGGGAGGACAAGGGTGAGACGGGGGAGACTGCATTGTTAGCACCCTTGCCCTCCCGCACCGACTCAATGTAGTCAAACACGTCGTATAAGACGCACACCAGGTCCTCGCCCGTGTTGCCCTGCGCGATTGGGGAGGGGGGGGGAGGGGGGGTTGCAATGATCAGCACCCTTGGCCTCCCTGACTCACTCGATGTAGTCAGACTGCATACAGCACGCACACGAGGTCCTCGCCTGCGTTGTCCTGGGAGAGGGGAAGAAGGGGGGGACGGGAAAGATGGTTGCACCGAGTGAAATTCCTTGGCTTGGCACCCCTGACTCACTCGATGCAGTCAGAAGTCGTACAGCACACACACCAGGCCCTCGCCCGTCTTGCCCTGGGAGA